TGGCATTCGCATTTATTACATAGATAATATACGTAAATAAACATATATATTACGTGTTTTAGATGTTATCTCTAAAAATTAACGTCTTTTTAATCTTATATATATATATATATATATAAATATATCTCGTCCGATCAGTATCTGTCTATATTTCTGGGATGCGGTGTTATGTACACTATTTACATTATTCAGACTATTGTCCTCATCTTTGTTGCCATATTTATCACAACGTTTCGGTCATTGTACGCTCCGGCCTTCTTCAGGTGGTTGGAATGTCAAACTGGACCCTTTATTTTGCTTGCTGGAGTAGACTGTTCTAGTTCCACGTGCCATGTCTAATGGATGTCCGTTATCAGTTATCTCTTGTTATTTCACCTCTCCAGGTTCTCCACTGCCTTAACCAGGTATTGAACTCACACTATTTTGGTCCTGTCACTGGATCTAACTGATGCCTTTTATCCACTGTGCCATGTGTCCTTGAGGACATCTGTGTCCGTTGTCTTTAATCTGGTATCCTTGGGATGAGGTCATTGCCGGGCCACAGAAATGTAGGACAACAGAAATAATCGTAAAAATCCCAATGTGAACCTGGTCTTGTCATATATATTGCTGGCATTAACTGGCTTATGTCAGAGGGTAACCCCCAGACGAGGCTATGCCCGAACGGCAGAGTCTCGTCTCCGGAAACTGACTTCCTTTTTACATGCTCTATAGGGAATTTTTGCCCGAGCCTACGGGATCAGATACCCCACTTTAAACTCAGTCTTGTGCCACATCTTGCTGAGTGGGGCAGCGGGTAAATAATTACAGTGTAACCCAGATATAAGAGACCCGGATATAAGAGAAACCCGGATATAAGAGAGATTTTCTCTGGTCCCAAATTAGAGCCTGTGTTAATGTATATAAAATAGACCAAACCCGGATATAAGAGAGATTTTCTCTGGTCCCAAATTAGAGCCTGTGTTAATGTATATAAAATAGACCAAACCCGGATATAAGAGAAAACCGGATATAAGAGACTTCTTCTCCGGTCCCGACAACTCTCTTATATCTGGGTTACACTGTATATTGCTGGCATTCCTAATTCCTTCATTAACTCGAAATTTTCAAGAATAGATAAATCTTTAGAATTTAGGCTTATGTTTTTTTTCTTTTAATCGAATTTAACCCAAGCAAGGCAGTAAAGTCACTAAGACGCAAGGGATTACTGGGTGTGGAAGAATTAGGTGCAAAACCATTACTAATTCTTCCACAACAATTTACTCCTTGTGTCTTAGTGGCTTGGCAGCCTTGCTTGGGGTGAAATTGATTAAAAGAAAAAAAAACTGTAAATTGATGAGACCTCATTACCAATCTTGTACTGCGCTTAAATTCATAAAGTCGTACAATCCGAACAGTTACCATTAAAGTATTTATAGAAAAAAGCCGAGGGAAGCAACTTTATACTGGTGGGAAAATGATCGAAGCCGAGATGTCAGATCAGGGCCAACAATATTGATGATTCTACTTTGGATTTTATCAAGTATCTCTAGATACATAACCAGAACACCGGACCATATGCGGCAGCAATACTCTAAGCATGTATAGTAGGCTTATAGATATTCAAGATGGATTCTGCTGATTAAAAATTCTAACACAATACAGTGAACCGACTCTTTTAGCAGCTGGCATATCAATGTATTCAATTTACATCTACCACCATCATCTGTACCTCCCGTTCTCTTGAATGGCACCCTGAATGGGTAAATATGCAGTTATATGTAAGACATGAGCAAGACCCTATCACCAAAAAACACTGCTGTTGTCGGCTGGTACGAAAAGCTGTAAACAGCGCGTAGTGCTGGCCTCGTAGCCGCAAAGTGAACTAATAGCGGCTGATTAATAAAAGTGACGGACTAAAGAGGACAGACTGTAATTAATCCGAGATAGATATATAGATAGATAGATAATAACCAGCCTGATAGATAGATATACAGATCGATAGATAATGACCAGCCTTATAGATAGATAGATAATAATCAGCTTGATAGATAGATAGATAAACAGATAGATAGATAATGACCAGTATGATAGATAGATAGATAGATAGATAATGACCAGCCTGATAGATAGATAGATAGATAGATAGATAGATAGATAGATAGATATACAGATAGATAGATAATGACCAGTCTGATAGATAGATAGATAGATAGATAGATAGATAATGACCAGCCTGATAGATAGATAGATAGATATACAAATAGATAGATAATGACCAGCCTGATAGATAGATAGATATACAGATAGATATACAGATAGATAGATAATGACCAGCCTGATAGATAGATAGACAGATAGATAGATATACAGATAGATAAACAGATAGATAGATAATGACCAGCCTGATAGATAGATAGATAGATATACAGATAGATATACAGATAGATAGATAATGACCAGCCTGATAGATAGATAGATAGATAGATAGATAGATAATGACCAGCCTGATAGATAGATAGATAGATAGATAGATATACAGATAGATATACAGATAGATAGATAATGACCAGCCTGATAGATAGATAGACAGATAGATATACAGATAGATAAACAGATAGATAGATAATGACCAGTATGATAGATAGATAGATAGATAATGACCAGCCTGATAGATAGATAGATAGATATACAGATAGATAGATAATGACCAGCCTGATAGATAGATAGATAGATAGATAGATATACAGATAGATATACAGATAGATAGATAATGACCAGCCTGATAGATAGATAGATATACAGATAGACATACAGATAGATAGATAATGACCAGCCTGTTAGATAGATAGATAGATAGATAGATAGATAGATAGATAATGACCAGCCTGATAGATAGATAGATAGATATACAGATAGATATACAGATAGATAGATAATGACCAGCCTGATAGACAGATAGATAGATATACAGATAGATAAACAGATAGATAGATAATGACCAGTATGATAGATAGATAGATAGATATACAGATAGATATACAGATAGATAGATAATGACCAGCCTGATAGATAGATAGATAGATATACAGATAGATATACAGATAGATAGATAATGACCAGCCTGATAGATAGATAGATAGATAGATAGATATACAGATAGATATACAGATAGATAGATAATGACCAGCCTGATAGATAGATAGATAGATAGATATACAGATAGATATACAGATAGATAGATAATGACCAGTCTGATAGATAGATAGATAGATAGACAGATAGATAGATATACGGATAGATAAACAGATAGATAGATAATGACAAGTATGATAGATAGATAGATAGATAGATAGATAGATAATGACCAGCCTGATAGATAGATAGATAGATAGATAGATAGATATACAGATAGATAGATAATGACCAGCCTGATAGATAGATAGATAGATAGATAGATATACAGATAGATATACAGATAGATAGATAATGACCAGTCTGATAGATAGATAGATAGATAGATATACAGATAGATATACAGATAGATAGATAATGACCAGTATGATAGATAGATAGATAGATAATGACCAGCCTGATAGATAGATAGATAGACAGATAGATAGATATACAGATAGATAAACAGATAGATAGATAATGACCAGTATGATAGATAGATAGATAGATAGATAATGACCAGCCTGATAGATAGATAGATAGATAGACAGATAGATAGATATACAGATAGATAAACAGATAGATAGATAATGACCAGTATGATAGATAGATAGATAGATAATGACCAGCCTGATAGATAGATAGATAGATATACAGATAGATATACAGATAGATAGATAATGACCAGCTTGATAGATAGATAGACAGATAGATATACAGATAGATAAACAGATAGATAGATAATGACCAGTATGATAGATAGATAGATAGATAATGACCAACCTGATAGATAGATAGATAGATAGATAATGACCAGTCTGATAGATAGATAGATAGATAGATATACAGATAGATATACAGATAGATAGATAATGACCAGCCTGATAGATAGATAGATAGATAGATATACAGATAGATATACAGATAGATAGATAATGACCAGTCTGATAGATAGATAGATAGATAGATAATGACCAGCCTGATAGATAGATAGATAGATAGATATACAGATAGATAGATAATGACCAGCCTGATAGATAGATAGATAGATATACAGATAGATATACAGATAGATAGATAATGACCAGCCTGATAGATAGATAGATAGATATACAGATAGATATACAGATAGATAGATAATGACCAGCCTGATAGGTAGATAGATAGATAGATAGATAATGACCAGCCTGATAGATAGATAGATAGATATACAGATAGATAGATAATGACCAGCCTGATAGATAGATAGATAGATAGATAGATAGATAGATATACAGATAGATATACAGATAGATAGATAATGTCCAGCCTGATAGATAGATAGACAGATAGATAGATATACAGATAGATATACAGATAGATAGATAATGACCAGCCTGATAGATAGATAGATAGATAGATATACAGATAGATATACAGATAGATAGATAATGACCAGTCTGATAGATAGATAGATAGATAGATAGATAGATAGATAGATAGATAGATAATGACCAGCCTGATAGATAGATAGATAGATAGATAGATAGATAACGGCTAATCTGATAGATAATGGCCATCCTGATAGATAGATATGATTGATTCGTTTTTAAAACTTATCAACCCTTTGCAGGTTGTTTAAAACCAGGACATTTTTTTTAGATTGTAAAGCTTTTATTTTTTTTAAGATAATAAAGATTTAGTGATGCAAGGGTAACTAATCAACCCATAACTGTGGGGAGAAGAGGTGGATTCATGCCTTTCCCAAGGCTATTTGTGCGGAAGTGAATATAACAAAATCCAACGGGAAATGGAACGTGATTCTCCGATTAATATTTTTGAGCTATTACACCACCCGTACATCGAAGCTTACAGCACCTGGTAATCCCAAGCGGTCACCCATCTAGGTACTGAACAGTATCAACGTTGCTTAATTTCGGTGATCGTACGGGAATCGGTGTTTCAATGTGTTATATTAGCTAGATACAAAAAAGATGTCTGAGACAGATAAGTATAATGTGATCGTATATCTGAACAGACTGCTATTGATCAATCAAATACTATTATATAGTGATAAATATGAAAAAGTTTGATAGGTATGAGCATAGTGTAGTAGATTGGTTTTTAGTTGTTCTCATTCCGTCTCTTAAAACCTTATGTCGCTTCGGGGCCACTTTCAGAACGGCCCTAATTGTACGACAGACTCAACAGAACTGAAAGCCTCCACTTGATTAACGCCTATAGCAGATATACATAGACTCCAAAGAATGCTGTATTTTAAAGATTATTTTATGATATGCTAGTCTTTTTAAAAATCATCTAATCTACTTTAAAAATCATCTAATCTACTTTAAAATGATAGGGTATCATATTTTTTTTTACCTCAAATAATCTTGTGCGAAATAAAAAAAGTGACGTTACAGATGGCACCCTGCAAAAGTGTAACATTCGTAGCATTGGGTAATTGCAACAAATATAAGATGAACCAAATAATTTGGACAGATGTGAATATTTTGTGATGTCAACGAACATTCGTTGCCACTTTTGTAATGTCAACGAATACTCGCTGTCACTTTCGTAATGCTCATTGTAGTAGAGACTTTGTAATCGCAGATACAACTTTAGTAACGCCGTTGAACAATACTAGTGTCAGACGCCTTCGAATAACACTCGTATTAATAATACTTACTATATAATACTCACTCAAATATTAACTACCGAATAGTGATCAGTGTAGAGAAGAGAATCGCGATTCGTAAATAGTAACAGAGGATAGAATAGAAATAGTGATCCGTATAGTAATAGAGGATAGTGTAGAAATAGTGATCCATACATTAATAGAGGATAGAATAGAAATGATGATCAATTAGACGCCACGCTAATTCCCATATATACATTTCCTTTACCATCACGTCATCTACTTATTCCGTATGGGATCGCCCGTGTTTGCTCACTGGCGATATATGGCGCAGCAATATTATAAGTATGGAGAAATGGTAGACTTATAGATAAGTAAGATAGATTCTGGAAAGAAAAAATGTCTCACCCGACATTGTGAACCAACTTTCTTAGCAGCTGACCTAGCAATGGATTCAATATAGTTTTTCCATTGCATGATAGTCGAGAATGTTACCCCGAGAACGAATTAATCTCCTGGAGGTTAGCATCAGCCATGCTGATAGAAGTCAGGTTGGAAGAGATTTCAGATGCAGAGAAGAGATATGAGTATAGGAAAATGGATAGAAAATAGACTACGCCTTTGATTCCATTTAAATATACGTCTACTTGGACTCACCATGCTGTACATGACTATGAGTAATTGGAGAGAAGGTATTTAAATGTTGAAGTAGGAAGGAAGAGGATACTCCAAGAAAACTTCCTGATATTGTCCTTTGTTCCTGGGAGCGGCCGATGAGATATATATATATTTTGTTTTGGGGGAGACTGACAGGTATCTTGTGAGAAAGTAGGGAAAGCTGGGTACAAAGTAACACCTTTATTCAAATTACCTTATCGACCCTATAATTAAAAGCAGGCACGGTTATTTGGACATTGGGGTTAAGTGAACATTATGACGAGGAGCTATTTTTTACGTTTGTGTTTAGGAATTTTGTGTGAATGAAAACTCCCTGATGAAGTATTATAAACGAACAGTATGAATTTTATTTAACATTAACGAAAAATTTGACAAAGAAGTATTAATTTTTTCTTAGACTAGTTATTCAAAAATATATACTATGATATTTACCACATGAACTACAATGGAAATAAAATGAGAAAGATATGGTATATAGTTTTGTTTTTGCCCAGGGGGCTCCTTGAAACTTGTAATTTCTTTTAAGGGTTATGCACGGGTAAAAAAAAAGGTCGAGAAAAGCTGATTTAGAGCCTCGAATTCCAGTTATGTTCAGCATTCGATTCTCTTGTTCAAATTTCATTTGTCCCTTCCATTTTTTTTTTTTTAGCTTTTTATATATTTTCGTATTCGGACTAAATCAATATCAACATTACCAAGTTTAAACCAATCACATCAGTTATAAAGTCAAGAGTACTTAAACTGCATGTTCACATCAAAAGATCAATTCACATGCATAGAAGGAAAGTTAGCCGATAAGAGAAGCAAAGGCCAATAGCCAAAACGCTGGCTTCATAATGTTCGCTTATGGAATAGATTTGACCGTTACGCTTTGAACTCTGCTGTTGGTGATCGAACTTAGTGGAGATGATTATCTCATGTTGGTGCGCAGTTTGCAACAAGAGGAGTAAGTGACTGATGATGATGATGATGATGATGAAGAGGAGGAGGGTGAGGATGATGATGATGATGATGCCGAGTCTCAAGTTTGTATTTATTTTTCTAGTTTCACTCTTTTGGCTTTCAATAAATATGCTGATGAACAGGACTTAAGAAATTTGATTGTCATAAGGCGTTTATCTGGCTGCCTGAGGTACGCACGTGTGCGAGATGGACGTGTATAGGGGGGCAGTACAGAGTTATTTATAAAGTTGCTGATGATGAGAAATCACAGTTATTTGAAGTGTGCCTTTGTTATATAGGAATAAAGTGTCGCTGCCGACACTGGAGCTTGAACACAGATCGCCAGAGAGCAAACACAGGCGATCCCATTTTCATAAGTAGATCACGTGATGGTAAAGGAAATGTATATATGGGAATTAGCGTGGCATCTAAGTGATCACTATATGGATCACTATTCAGACCACTATTTGGTGGTTACTATTCAAGCGAATATTATCAAGCAAGTACTATTAGCGCGAGTGTTATTCAAAGACATATGGCACCAGTATAGTCCAATGGCGTTACTATAGTGGTATCTGCGATTAAAAAGTCTCTACTACAACGAGTATTACAAAAGTGACACCGAGTATTCGTTGACATAACAAAAGGGGCAACGAATGTTCATTGACATCACAAAAGTCTTTCAAAACGAAATAGTCCTGATGCATTACGTCATAAGTGTCGTCAAAATAAAAAAAATATGTCAATGATAAAAACAACGAACATATATATACAGAAAATGAAACTAACAATAAAGCAATAGAAAATTGCATTATTTCGGATTTTCAACAAATACAGTTTTATTTGATTTATATATTCGTTGCGCTCTTGTGTAAAATTCGATTTAAATTTAAAAAAAAAAAAGATCTTTCTAGCAGGAGGATTGTATTTCTTTAATCGACAATCATTTTATCTTCTTATCTGATACAAAATGATGACGCGAGCCGGCAAGGAGAAAATGAAACAAAATGATATAAAAACAACAAAGAAACGGAAAAGACGGCGGCGTCGGCAGCAACAGTGCCAGTCGCGATGTCAGCAAGATTCAAAAAAGAACATACCTTTGCCAGGAACTTTTGCTTCATTCTGCGTCCGCTGTCGTCGACTCAGCCCAACATTTAATCGAACCACTGTTATTCTAAAGAACGGAGCAAGCGCACTGCGGGGGAATTGCACATTCTGTCATGCCGTGAAGTTCCGTTTCATGAATTTTCAAGAATTCATGTCACGGATAATTGCAAGCACTGTTGTACTGGTGACTGTCATCGTGCAAAATCTCTTGACCGACGGAACCGGATAAAACACGACAGGAAAATAACCTCATAACGATACCTGAAAGGGCAATTAACACCTTCAAAATGTGTAATTTAATTAAATACCACGTGGAAACTTCACTTGTTTTGCTTCTAAATATTTAATAATTTTTTTCTTTTTAGAACTTTTTTCTCATGACACCGCTTTTTTTTAAAAACTACCTTTACTTTTCGGCAATGTTTATTGTCTTAAAAAACGAAAACCTAAACAAGTGAATTTATACATTTTCTTTGTTCTTCAGAATTGACAATAAAAATGATAAACACTTTATTAAATTGTTTATTTAAACTATTTATTTATTATATTATTTGTTAGAATAGTTGGCAAACCAGCGGTTAATTCCCAATTGATTCAAACCTTATAAAATGGTGAATAATAAGGATTTCCTTATAATTGGTTCACATGTTATAATAATTTAGTAAATATTTATAAATTAATGAATACAAAATTGTTTTTACATTTATTTCTTTATAAATTGATAAATGAGAAATATTCCATTGCATTAATTCTAATTGTATTGTTTTTTAGAATATTGTAAATATAAAATTATTCTTGCAAATAAAAATTTAATAAATAATGTCTAATATTTTGTTGTAAATTCTCAAAAACAAAGAAAATGTACAAATTCACTTTTATCATATGTTTAGGTTTTTATTCCATTTCTAATCCTCGCTTTGTAAAACAATAAACATTACTGAGGAGTGAAGGTAGTTAAAATAATAGCGGTGTCACAGGAAAAACCGCCCTTTTGACACTACATCTTATTACGGGCACGTTTATCCATGTTTGCCTATTTATTTTTGTTGTTGTTGCCTGATAAGTTGCGAGAGAACCGAATAATTGTTGGCTTATTCAACGCACCCACGTAAGGGTGTCCCATTCTGAAACTTTACTAAACTTTCAATTTTCTTTCTTTTTGTTGTCACAAGAACAATTAATAGAACACAATAACTTTATAATCAAATTGGGAAAGTATTTACCTTCAATATTTGTAATCCTTGCTTTTATTTCAGTCTGCATTCTAACGTCCATCTCTCTCTCCTCTCTCTCTCTCTCTCTCTCTGCAAGTACCTTTTTCTTATTGTCTCCCTCCCTCCTTCTCATTGCGTCTCTTTCTCCCTCTCACACTCTGTTGGCTTGATCGCTCTCTTATTTACCTCATCGCTTATATCACCCTTTTATTCTCATTATATCCTCTCTTTTCCCTTATTCTCTCTTTTCTCGTATTGTCTCTTTTCTCTTATTATCTCTCTTTCTCTCTCTCTCTTTCTCTTCAAGATATGGGCGATCATGTGTCTTATCATTTTTTACCATCTTTCAATATTAAACCGATTCTCTAGCCTTCACTATCCCATA